AAAAGTTGTGAGGGATACCAACCTAGTTTGTCTTCCTCTTCATGGAAAGCTACGTCAAGAGGAGCAAAAGAAAGTGTTCAAAGAAAACGGGCATAAACGCAAGGTGATATTTGCTACCAACTGTGCGGAAACTTCCATTACTATTCCTGGTATAAGGTATGTGGTGGACACTGGTATGGTGAAGGAAATGAATTTCGAACCGAAACGCAACAAAAGTTCTTTAGAGGTGACAACAATCAACAAAAGTTCTGCTGAACAGCGAAAAGGAAGGGCAGGAAGGACACAAGCAGGAAAGTGCTTTAGACTCTACAGCCAAGAGGACTATGAGGCCATGGAAGACCAATTAAAACCAGAGATCCTAAGGGTTCATCTTGGCCAGGCCGTGCTGAAGCTGATGGAACTTGGCATTGAAGATATCAGAGACTTCGAATTCGTGGAATCGCCACCTTTAGACTCAATAAACCGTGCATTAGGGTTGTTGAATTCTCTTGGTGCCATGGCAAACGGAAAACTTACTCAATTGGGAGGCAAAATTGCCCGTGTTCCGGTAGAGCCGCGCTTGGCAAAGGTCATATTTGAAGGAATTGAAAAAGGTGTGGGTGCAGATGCGTTAGCGTTGGCGGCCATTGCAACTGCAGGTGGGAGCATTTTCTTCCGCATGGGAAGCGAAGAGGAGAAGCAGGCAGCCGACAGTAGAAAAGTATGTTTCTGCATGGATGGTGGTGACGTGCTGACGTTGTTAGAAGTGTACAGGCAATACCTCAAGCAACCCAAACGTTTACGTGAACGTAACAAGTGGGCGGTTGCAAACAGCTTAAACGCAAAGTCACTTCGCATGACTGACGAGACCATCAAAGAGCTCAAGCTGACGTTAAAGCATGAATTGAAGATAACGATCCCGGATACGTTGCAGCAAGACTCGAAAAATGATGTGAAACTTCAAAAGATCTTGTTGTCTTGTTATGCTACGAACTTATGCGTGTTTACTGGTCACGAGAAAGCAGGATACAGAGTGTTGTCTTCAAACCAGTGTGTTCAAGTGCATCCATCGTCAGCACTCAAGTTTATTGGAGCAACGCCTCAGTTCATTGTTTTTGACCAACTGCTCAAGACATCTCGTGAGTTTGTCGTCAACATTACCCCTGTGGAAGAGACGTGGCTCAGGGAAATGATTTCAACAGGAGCTCTCATGTATGACTTGGACCACCTATTGTCGACTGTACTGACTGAAAATCTACTGCTATGCAGTCCAGAAATTATGAATTTAACGTTTGGAGGATACAGAAGACGAAACCTTAATCAAATTGAGGAGAAGGTGTCGAAGTCATGCGATGACAGCTTAGTCGTGTTAGATGAGGACAAATTGCGGGGGCAAATAAAGATCTTCGCTCCTGAACAGCACACAGTAAAAGCTCTGTCAGTGATGGGGAGTATCTTAGAGGAAAAAAGAAAGATGCTGAGGAATGAGGAAAGAGAAGAGCCCTTGAGGGAAGAGTTCCCAGGAAGTAGAATTGTTTGGGGACAAGGCGGAGAAATAAGGGAGGTGCTGAA